CATGTCCCTGCCGTTGTTTGACCTTCATCCTTTTTTGTCGCCCTGAGAGACCTCTAGACTCTCCTCGGCAGGAAGAAGTGAACCTGCTGCACACAGCAGCCAGGTCGGTGGATGTCACAGCCCGCCAATCCTATGCTTCATTAACACACAGGCGACATTCTGTGGCTTCGATTCTAATCAGTGCGAGGCGAATTCGTTAGTTTGTTCAGAGGCACGGGACTAAAGAAGTAGTGGGTAAAAGAAGAAAGTTGTTGAAGAAGTCAAGTCCGGCATACGTACGCTTTCGACCATTCATCATCAGGCCTGTACGGAAACATAATCGAGGGTAGAATTGCAAAAGTTAAACATCCAATAAAAGACAATATGGGGGAAGGGAGTTGAAGGCCGTTTAGAGCTTAGTAGTCGGATTCTACAGTAGATGGGCCAACTCATAAAATGTTTGCCGAAATTCCGAAATGCGTCTTCAATTCGAAAAGATTAATTAAGTAGGTTTGTAAAACTCATCATCTCGCAGCATAATTCTATAATAATTCAGTTACCCTGGGGATGCCGTCTTTCGAAAGAACTTCTCTCCCGGCTGCATGAAAACTATACTCTGTAAATAATGACAACATGCATTTTTCTCATTGATTTTAGATGCCTTTAAAAATTCAATTATATTTCATGGAAGGCATGGACAAAAATATTTATTCTCCCACTCATTCAGTAGAAAAAAAACATCTTATTCCAATTTCATACTCGAAGGAGGGACATAAATAGGTTTTAAAAAAGTTTCTCATTGTGAGATTTTTTAATAGCATGAAATGGCCGTTCATAAAACGTCCTGTCCCTACATTTACCAATGTGGCCTCTAAAGTTAGCAATATGGCTCGAATCCACTGCCAAATTTTATGAACTCCATATGGTCTCCTCTTAATACTGCAGAGAAATGTGTGGTTTTCCGTATGCGGAAAACGCATAGCTTGTAGTTTGGAAACCCTGAATGCAAATGTGACGGCAGAGCGGGTTCAACATTATTCGGGAATAGAAAAGTTTTTAAAAACCGAATAATACTCTTCCTTCGAACATAAAGTTGTAAGAAGACGTAATTTTCCACTGAATGATTGAGACAATGAATATTTTTACGCATGTTTTCCATGAAATATAATTGCACGTTTTGGGGCATTGAAAATCAATGAGACATAGTGCTAGGCTACCCTGCAGGATTTTCATGAAGGTAGTCAAGTTTGAAAGTTCCAAGCGGCAACAGAGATTGCAGTACGTTGCAATACTCATGCGAAAAATACGGCCTATTGTAAGACCTCAAATTCTGCAAACAAGTTGTACTGTTGAGCGAAGCTCGAGAAACTCTGACCAGAACTCTTAATAGGCTTTCGAATTGAAGATACTACTGATTCGATGCTAAAAAAGGGATTTCTTGAGAGATCGCATGAAAATTGGGTTCGAATCGGTCGCGCCAGCTCCCAGCGTTCGTTGTCAATGACTAATGAAAGTCAGCACGTCATATTCAGTCATTTAAACGTCGCAGTTTCCCGATGACAACGTTCCTCGATGAACAATCACTCCTCCAAGCACCTTAATGGATCGAAATCTGAGAAACTACCTTAACTAATTTACCATCACATAAAGCATAACCTTTCTTTTGCCTTAAGGCTTGAAGTAGGGAAGCGCAGTAGTCCTGGAAATACTAGCTGATACCTACGTATTGTGGCATGTACCCAGCGCTTTTACTTGCTTTAAAAGTTTACAGGCTACATTTTAATTGCTTTCTAGGCCGGGACTTCACTCATTTAAGTTGTCTTCTGACGCTTAAACAACAGTGAAATGTAGATGAAGTCGAGCCTGGCAAATGTACGCTTTCGATTATCCATTATTAGGCCTGTACAGTAATATAATCGAGGGTAGAATAGCAAAAGTTAAACATCCAATAAAAGACAATATGGGGGAAGGGAGTTGAAGGCCGTTTAGAGCTCAATGGTTGGATTCTAGTTCTGTCCGGGGAGGGGGAAGAAAAGGGAAAGGTGTCTGGTGATTAGCTGCTGCTCCTGGTTCGTCGCCGGGCCGCGACTTGGCCTGATGATGAATAATCAAAAGCGTTCGTTTGCTGGACTTGACTTCTGAGATGTCTACATGGGTAGAATCGCTGAAGAAAGTGGTTTGTTTTTAAGAAGGGAAAACTAAGTGGTCAAACACGCGAGAAGATCGACCCTACTACCCCTCTCCTCTCCTAAGAACCAGTGATGAATTAATGGGATTGGACGCAATGCCTGGAATGGCGTGAAAGACTCCGTCTACGTGCAACACAAGCGCATTCGACAGTGGTTGTGAACTGGCGCAGACTCTCACTACAGCTCAACCAGTGCATGTCACGAGCTATTGTTGGCTCCCTATTGGCTCAGCGGGGAGATGGGCGGGAGCTGCATATAAGCCAGTCCAACCCCCATGTCTTTGTCAGTATGTGGCCATCCTCATTAGTAGACGCCAAGAAACTGCTCTCAGCGACGCCAAACTCTGGTAGAGGGACGCTCCCTGATCCCGATAGAGGGCTCACCCGTCCCGCTTAGGACTCAATCTCTAGCCCAACCAGCATCCGCACAGCGGTTACTAGTACATGCAGACAGAATGGCATTGTCGACAAGGCCAATGTGACTGAAATGGTCATTTCTGACTTATTAGCCGTCACCAGCCACCCTTACCCAACCCCGGGTTTTGCAACCCCTGAAAATCGATCCCGCGACCTGTTGATTAGATGTCCAACCTACTAACCACTGCCGTCTCCATTGCCTTTGTTGGCAATGTCGTTCTGCCACCAGAAGCTGTGCGGATGCTGGAGGAACTCGAGACTGAGTCCCAAGGCACAAAGTAAAACAGGTGAGTTCCCTATCCCGATCGGCGAGCGCCCCCGTGAGCCGTACCATGACGACTACAAATAACGAAGACTAAATACCGACCTCCAACCAACAAGTCGCGGGGTCGAGCCCCAGGGGTTTCAAAACCTGGGATTAGGTATGGCTGACTGACGATGGCTAATGTGTCAAAAATGGCCATTCGTACCTTCCCTGCCTTCGTCGGCAATGTTATTCCACTTTAAACTCTGTTGTAATTGCGTTCACTGATCTGGTTACGGAAGGAGTATATCCCGAGCCTGGGAATAATTCCCTCTAATAACAAAATGTGGACCTTAAATGGGAAATCCGGTCTCTTCCAACCTGCCCCCCCCCCAGACCACGCCCTCTAAGAGCTCTGATCTAGTTAGTTCAGCCAAGAAGTGTCTAAAATATGAGATATTGTTCATACAAAGGTGTGCGAATCAATGTCTGGACGACTGTCGATTCCAAATGGTCAGCTTTTCAGGAATTTTACAAAAAACCGGTGAGATAATTAAATACAAGGCGAAGTTTAGAGCATTCCTTTTATTGACCTTTGTATCTGACACAAAACTCTGCGGCTAGACAATACCGTAGTGTTGTGCTAGGGGGCGCACATTTGTCAGCCAATGCTATGACTTCCGCGACGGTCACCTGTGTAGTGGTTTCTTGGGTAAAAGTTAGTAATTAAAAAATCAGAAATGAATTCACATTTTCACACTGAAATCAGCATTCGGCACATAGATGAGTCCCTGGGAAAGATGAGTATCTCGAGGATTTTTTAGTAGACTTTTCAAATTTCCATATCATCGCATTCTTAGGGAGTAGTGTACTTTCCTAAATGATGTCAACATGCAGTCTTTTCGGGTGTTTTATTTAACCTATCCTGTATTGCGCAAGTCTACTTCAAGGCCCAAGGACTTAACTGATCTCACGACTAAATTATATAATTTAATTGTAAACCTGTTAATTCTTTCGGAGCATCTACTTTCATACCTTTTAAATAAACGAGAACGATGTAGATTCTATGTACAGGTAAAGTCGTGTGTGAAGTCATATCATCGAGAATATCGGACTTTGCAATTCCAACTCCGCAAACGCATGTCTCGACTAACTGAAGGAGGTCATCTGATGGGATCATCTGGATGGAAAATTCATGTGGCATTTAGAACTGTTCCAGTTAAGTCATTTCATTGAAAACCTGCACGCAAGAGACCGGTGTCGTTATGGCATCTTCGCAAATCTGCCAAAAACCCGATATAAGTTCTTATTGTCTTTATCAATAATATTTTTCGATAATACTCTCTGCCCACCTTTAAATATGCAGCACTACCATATTTGAGATTCAGTTTTGTCGGAATTAAGCGCTTTTACAGCTCCAATGCCTCCTTAATATCAATGCTCCAATGAATACCTGATCCACATCCCCGAACAGTGTGCAGACAATCTGTCTCTAAGTAAAAAGGTGCTGTGTGGTAGAGCATAACGGTAACCAGGTGGTCGAAGTCCCTCAAAGAACGAGTTAAAAGGTTATATTCTGGGGTCGTCAGAGAGCGGACGGGCATAATTTAGAAAAGGGGAGTGCAAATTAAATTTCTCTTTCTGTCCCACTGAATCATGCTCATTAACTGTCTGATAATGAGCCATAGCTATCTAGATAACAAGAAAGTCTTGGTTCAACAAAGTTTTAAAGTTCTCCTATTTAAAATCAAAATTCTTATTTCCGATTGTCATCTACCACTGCGAAATGACCTACAGTTGCGCCAAATCATAAGTACCCGACCGTCACCGCGTCCGCGTTGCCTGCTGATTGGTGCGCAGAATATAATATTCGCGCGCGTCAACGTCGCGATTATGATGAGCGACCAATCAGAATATTATAAGTTACTTTGGACAGGTCGCCTTCATGCTCGCCTCTCTAAGCGCCTCGGAGACGATCGTTCAGTGTCTTATTAGAAATGCAGCGTCACGACTGCTCTACTGGAAGCATTTTGTTTGAAATAATCTAGTAGGTTGAGCCACTGGAGTGAAATTGTACATATTTGTATAATGTCGCTGCCAGTGTACTATTTTTATGTCTGATCTGTATGGATGAAAGGACGAATCGGTCCAGGAGTCAGAAGTCTGGTGGCCCAGATGCGGATTTCAACAAAACACTCGAAAACTAGCCCGTAAATCAGGTCTCAGTGACTGTTGTAGCAGAGATAACGTAAAAACGCCCTTCAAAATGCTGAGTCGAACCGGTGAAAAGAAATAGAGAGAGAGAGGAGAGGAGGAAATGCGCTTTATTTTGAAATCGTAATTTCAAAATTTTCAGCAAAAAAATGGCTCCATTCACTGTGGGTAGTAAATAAGTTAAGAGATTATTCAACAGTCAAAGAAACGATTATTATGGGGATAGTTCAACTCTGAGCTTCTGTATTTCTGTCTCTTCGCACGTAAGATATCGCGCTAGGAATGGCAATACAGAGGCTCGATAAGCCGATGTGCGACAGGGTATAAGACGGAAGTTGCGGCGCATCGGGCGGGAAGACTTGGCAGCCATAAGATCGGAATGTAGGGGATGGGCAACGTCATCTAGAATTCGACCAGCAAATTGCTTGACCGCATTGAAGTGTCGTTGTAAGATTGTGTCAACTAAAAAAATATGAGAAACGCCAGCAGCAGAAGAGAGCATGCGGAGGATTCGTTTCAAAATTAAAAGATCCTTTTTTAACAGAGCAGGAAAAACGACAGGAGAACAGTATAGGATAAGAGGAAGAATGCAGGCATCAATGAATCGCCAGACTAAGGGTTGAGGTGTGTAGTAGGAACGCAAACGACGAATGTAGTAAAGGAGTTTACGAACTTTAATAAATATGGACCCAATATGGACGGAAAAAGAAAGATTTGAGGACAAAGTAACGCCGAGATACCTGAAAGAGGATACCTCATTAGGAAGAATGTCAGAGGAATCAGGGTTAGGAGAGGGCCGCAGTCGAAAAATACACTGAACGGATTTTTGGTTGTTAATTAGGAGACCATTTTCCTCCGACCACGCTAGGACATGGTTTAGGCCATCCTTTAGAGACCGGAGGTGTGTCTGACTTTTGAGAGGGTGTCCAACAACCACATCGTCAGCATACTTGATCAGAAGACAGTCATTAGGGGACCTGAGATCATCAGTGTGGAGGAAGAAAAGGTGAGGGGATAGAATGGAACCTTAAAGAACACCGCAGTCATTGGGAAGGGTCGAAGATTTTCGCTTGCCAGATTGGACAAATTGGGTGCGGAAGCTAAAATAATCGCTCAGCCAAGAGACGACCGAGCCTGGAGAGCCACATTCGGAAGTTTTGGAAAGAAGAAGAGGACGCGGGACGGTATTGAAGGCGGAGGAGTAATCCAGAAAAGCGCACGCATACTCGCGGCAACCCTTGTCTAATGCTTTTAGAGCAGAGTGGACCACAAGAGCGACAGCATCTAAAGTACTCCGTTTAGCTTTGTATGCAAATTGAAAGGGGTCGGAAAAACTGGAAGAAAAAGGCTTTATGATATCTAGGGCAACTCTTTCAGCAAGCTTTAGTATTGCAGAGGAGCAGGCAATTGGGCGAAAATATTTAGGAAAAGATTTAGCGGATAGCTGAATCACCACGGCACATAACACTGCCCAGGCACACATACCGTTTTCAGCTATGTAGATTGAATGATTTTGACGGGCAAGGACTTATACTTACTTGCCCAGTTTTCAGAAAAATTTGGTTTAAATATATCTGCTTTAGTCACCTCCCGAGCAAATAATTGCCTAAGCAAACAATGAACTATTTATCGACCAAATATATTGTTTCACACGTTTTCATGACAAAGAATCAACAGCATTGATACTCGTTCATCTAAAATGACTTCAAAGTCCTGGAGACAATGCCCTCATGCAAGGAGTTCATCAGTGTCATACCGACTTACATGCTATAGTAGAATTCCTAATGCCAGTTTAAAGCGAACGTAGGCAGTCACGATTTGACATGGTGCGAAATATGTGTGTCAGAGCGAGGTAGGTAGCTGGACTCGTTGGATAGTGGGCGCTTTCGTATGCTTACCGCAAGCCCAATGATAAAGGCTAGAAAATATAGGTAGTAAGGGCCTCCATCTCAAGGAATTTGATTTCAGAGGACATAGCAAACGAATTAGGAAGACGACATCTGAAGACGAACCCTTTTCTCGCGGCAAACTCGGACATATTCTTCAAAAATTGTCCGCTCCTACATTTGATAGGTAAAGACTGACTACCTTTACAAGCCAAATCGATGTGCATTTACTCCTTCACTTGTTCCTGTGGAGCGGGATGTATTTGACGTGCAACGAGGCGCCTGGAAACCAGAGTGCATGAACACGCACCGGCCTGGCTAGGCAGAGGTGAAAGTAGATCGATTTCCAGTTCTGTTCGCGCACACCTTGTCGATAAGAATCACAGAATCAATGTCAAAGAAGACTTTCAAGTTGTTTATCGGACACCAGCAAATTTCTCCAAAGGCCTACGCCAGCCGAGGCAATGGCTATACGACTAGCGAATCCAGCACTGTGCTGTCAGAAGACGTTCTGTCTTCCGTGGCCAGCTCCGACCCCAGCTAGTTATGTCATGCCGCCAAAGCCTCTGCTGACAATTATATGTGCTCAGCGTACTCGAATTACAATCGTCCACAGCCTATGTTAACTTCCTCACCATGCGGGTGGCACGGGAACTATGAGTGTTAATAACCCCTGAGACACTTGTAAACCCTGTGAACTTATCATATTTTCATCCTCTATGAAACTGTATGGGCCTGTTGATGAAGTGCCGAAAACATGTGCTTGTCAACTGAACCTCTCAATTAATATCCGAGCTCGGAACTGTCTGACCCTGCATCTCGCAGCCTGGTCGGTGGACGCCATCCAACTATATTTAGTATTACCATCACAACGGACAGGACAGGGAGTCCGTAGCTCAATTATATAGCGTCTAATTATTCCATATTCAATGGCCAGAGAACCCGGGTTCGAATCCCAGTTGTCGGAAACCCGGCTGACTGAGCAGGGCTATGCAACCCGGACCTCGAAGCCGGACTCCGATAATTCAGCTTTAAGTTAAACACCCACTATAAAGCCATCGGCTCCTCGTACTGGTGGGATGCGGATATGACTGATTTGCAGCTACTAAGGCACAACGTGCAATATTGCTATATATACAGTAGATGTGTTATCTCGCAAAGTCTTGAGGGAAATTTTGAAATATATTTTCTGTTTGAAAAGATCGCCTGAGCAGGGTTTTAGTTTCAGCTTATTTGAGGGTTGTAATATTAGTCATAACGCAGCACAATTCTAGGATATTGCAGTCACGTCAAAATGTTCATAAATTTGAACGACAATAGACGTTGCGATATGTATGTATATATATGCAATTTCCTATGATAATACTTGTCCTAGACATCGGCTGCGCAACTGGGCAGTCTTTCCTTTTAGAGGAATGTAACTTACCCTCGAGAGTTCTACTAAACACATTTCGTTACACTTAAAAATTGATTCTTCCTCTGAAGCTTACCGTGGGAATGAACTTTCAAACACGCCGGTTATAATTGGAGAACCAGACGTCTTATCGATTTTTAAAAGTCGGATTGGCAACTGTATGCGATTTTGTGCTCTAAAGCGCGGTAATAACGTACAAATGCCATCCTTCGTTTAAAGTGATCGATATTGTTTTGCCATTTGGAAAGTTTTGCGGGCTGACACAGAAATGGCTACCACTGGATAGTCATTTTCAATTTGGAACATCTGAAACAGGATTTCTCGTGTGGTAGATTTTCCGCATGTTTGAAATTGAGAAATGCGACGAGCAAAACATTAGCTATTTCAGCAAAATATCAGTACTTATATGCTCACTCTGTCGCGTATTCATAATCATGTAACGCAACCCACAAGCGAGCAAAGATTACGAAGATGATTTTAATGCAAATGGAAAAGCATGTTTTCCCATTTGCGTTAGAAACATACCGGTATGTCTTGGCAACGTGAGGGAAACGTCCAAAAATGCCAAATTTTTCATGGACTTACCGGATAAAAATGTAAAGTACAAGGACATCCGTCAGCAGAATGCAGTGTTAAAGTACTCCTTAAAAAGGTAACTTACTAGAGAAGGTTTTCTAACTGATCGAAAGTATTCCATTGTTGTCTTTTGTTGCGGGCATTCGATCTATTCGACAGTGCGGCCACATGTCTAGGTGCGTTTTTGCATGTGACCCAAACGACCATCTGTGGGAAAAAGAACGGCCAAATGCTCACTACTTCGATGAATACCTTTGAAGGCTTTGATAAATACATATAATGGAATCGGAATTTATGGGCAATCGATTAAAAACACTGCAAATCATGAAGCATTCGGCGATATTCCAAGGCTGGCCTAAAACTACGTAATTCAGAATGGCCGAAAGGTGCTAATTAGGCCCATGGAAGAAAGGTTTTCTTTATATGCACAGAATGATATGTCTGCGATTACATCTGCCGTAGTTATTTACATTTATTAGTCACCGACCGACATTTCATCACATGACCTTAGAAAAATTCGGTGGAATGTTAATGTCAACAAAGACAAGGGAGACATTCTACCAATATCATGCGCCGCTGTGCGACTGCTGGTTGGGCGTGAGGGAGAGCCCGGTAGGCACGACAGGGCGAGTGAGTTCCGTAAAAACGATCGGTGAGCGCCCCTCTACCACTTATGAAAACTTTTATTCCTCTGACTTCCCCCTCGGCCTGGATTTATGCCAAAAGTCCCATCCCAAGTTATTGTATGATAGCGCAAATGAGAGTAGTAGTTAAAAATAAACAAAAAGTAAATTTCACAAAATGAGGGATTTGAGTTGAAATGTGAGGCCGTGGGAAATAATCGTTGTTGGCAGTGTAATTTCTGCAACAGCCTGCAAATGTATGCCAGGACAAAACCCCGTACGACATGAGCCACAGTCTACTGACAGTTAAGTGGGGTCCTTCTCTATACCGTTGCCCAAAGTTGGTCTTCATTAATATAGATACTGGGTCCATGCATTGGTGTCGGTTTGCGAGTGTTTAGCATTAATTCGTAGATTCCGACGCCCTTCACCAGATAGGCTGCCTACAGCGCACACGCGTTCAGGCTGTTAGGAAAACGTGGATTGACGGGGACCAAATAAGTTGAGTCTCTCGTCACAGGACGCTGCCCCTGTCCTGTATTTTTGTCTACCGATTCTCTTTCAAGCAAACAGTTGTGCAAAAGCTTATTTACTTGAAAGATGTTACTCCACGACAATATACACAAAAAATATCATCCAGCCTCCACCAAATGCGTCAGGGCATCCACAGGAGAGCACTTGAGGAATCTACTTGTCCTGGAAAATATTGCCGTGGAACGCTTTTATTAGACCATCTTCCTGAGCCTAAAGACGACTACTTCCCCATGCGTGCGCGTGTGTGTGTGTATAACCTACTCAAGCATATGTTTAAGTGACTTTTTGAGTTTATACGCGAGCGCCCATCTGAAGTAGTGTGGACTCTTATTCGCTCGGCTAGACAGATGAGAAGAGTTAATGAATGCTTTTGCTACTGAGGGGACGGAAGAGGGAGAAAGAGAGAGATGAGAAGGTCGGTGGCAGGGGGGGGGCGGGTCTTACTGGGGAGAAGCACGTAACAATTAATCATAATGACAGGTGGAACGAACAAGACTGATTACGTGGGCTCTCGCGCGTAGGCTGATGCTCAGGTCAGTCAGATTTCTCCTGGGCTAGGGTGGGACAGGTGTCTTGCGAACTGCCGAACTGATGAAGGATGATTATGAGGACAATTTGGGGAGCGAGGACGGGGTAGAGGAAGGGCGAGAGAGGGAGGGCGGAGACTGCAGTACTGAGTAGCGCGGCTGTACGGGGCAGCATAAACTAACCGACAGTTCGAACGTCGTTTCCAACGATGCCCACCGTGCGCTCCACAGCAGGGTGGGAGCAGGGACGGTGACTTGTGCGGGAATTAGTTTATACTGATAGTGGACTTGCACAGCATCTACCGCACTCCCTCATCCGTCCCCACCTGGACCCGGTGTCAAGACAGAGTCAAGAGAACCGGAGGCGGGAGAGGGCGCAGGTGGATGGCACGGTCGAGTCCGCATCTTAGCGCTCCACTCCACACCCCTAATCCACACAAAAATGACCAGGTTTTTGACCAACAGCAATAATGGGGAAAGGCAGCAGGGGTCCCAGTTTGCGCGTCGCCTATCGGTGCTACCCCGACCACTCTCGAATGCCCATCCGACGGATGTTTCGTCGCATGTCGGTGTTAGGGATTGGTCTAGCTGTCGGTGAGCTAGTCAGCAAACCATTTAAACCACAGGGGCATCAACATTCGTATCAGAGTTCGGCGTCCTGCCGGGAATAACGTCTCTGGAGCTAGAAGCCTAGAAGTGCTCAGCTGGAAGGTCTTGAAACGATCACACTGCTATCCCTAGTCACACGAATATACGCGAAGCCCGGTAGCAGTCAGGTACTTGATGAGTAAAGATTTTTATAAAGAGGCGCAAGCATGCAGTAAGTGAGTTAAGTCATTAAATCTCAACATAAATTCCGAAATACGCTGTCGTTTCGAAAAGATAAATTAAGTAGGGTTGTAAAAATAATAATCATGCAGCATAATTCTATGATAATTCAGTTACCCTGGGGATACCGGCTTTCGAGCGAACTTCTTCCGGCTGCATCCAAAAATTATACCCCGTAAAAATGACTACTTAGGCAGCATGCATTTTTCTCATTGGTTTTCGATGCCCTTAAAAAGTCAATTATATTTCACAGAAGACATGCATAAAAATATCTATTCTTTTGTGCATTCGGTAGAAAATTACGTCTTCTTTCAATATTACGCTCGAGGAAAGAGTACGATTTGGTTTTATAAAACTTTTCCAATTCCCGAATAATTTTGAACCCGACCTGCCGTTACACATGCATTCGGGGTTTCCAAACTACAAGCCGTATAATTCCCGCGTACGGTAAAACGTAGATTTCTCTACGGTATTAAGAGGAAACCATATGAAGTTCATAAAATTAAGCAGTGGATTTGAGTCACATTGTTAACTTTACCAGCCAGAGACATGACGTTTTATGAAGGGCCATTTCGCAGTATTAAAAAATCTCACAATTATAAACTTTTTTGAAACCGAGTCATGCCCTTTTATTCGAGTATAAAATTAGAAGAAGACCGAATGAGCAAATGAATGAATATTTTTATGCATGTCTTCCATGAAATATAACAGAATCTTTAAGGGCATCGAAAACTACGAGCGGGCGAGAAACGTCCATGCTCAGCTGGAAGGTCTTGAAACGATCACACTGCTATCCCTAGTCACACGAATATACGCGATGCACGGTAGCAGTCAGGTACTTGATGAGTAATGATTTTTATAAAGAGGCGCAAGCATGCAGTAATCTCAACAGAAATTCCGAAATGCGCTGTCGTTTTGAAATGATAAATTAAGTAGGGTTGTAAAACTAATAATCGTGCAGCATAATTCTATAATAATTCAGTTACCCTGGGGATACGGGCTTTCGAGCGAACTTCTTCCGGCTGCATCCAAAAATTATACCCCGTAAAAATGACTACTTAGGCAGCATGCATTTTTCTCATTGGTTTACGATGCCCTTAAAAAGTCGATTATATTTCACACAAGACATGCATAAAAATGTTCATTCTTTTGCGCATTCAGTAGGAAATTACGCTTTCTTTCAATTTTACGCTCGACGAAAAGGTATAATTAGGTTTTATAAAATTTTTACAATTCCCGAATAATTTTCAACCCGACCTGCCGTTACACCTGCATTCAGGGTTTCCAAACTACTAGCCGTATAATTCCCGCATACGGAAAAACATAGATTTCTCTACGATATTAAGAGGAAACTATATGGGGTTCATAAAATTAAGCAGTGGATTTGAGCCACCTTGTTATCTTTACCAGCCAGAGACATGACGTTTTATGAAGGGCCATTTAGCAGTATTAAAAAATCTCACAATTATAAACTTTTTTGAAACCGAGTCATACCCTTCCTTCGAGTATAAAATTGGAAGAAGACCGAATGAGCATGTCTTCCATGAAATATAACAGAATCTTTAAGGGCATCGAAAATCAATGAAAAAGTGCATGCTAATTCAGTAGTCATTTGTTACAGATTATGGTTTTTATATGCAGCCGAAAAGACGTTTGTTCGAAAGCCGGTGTCCTGGGGTAGATGAATTATTATAGAAATATGTTGCATGATATTTGTTTTTACAACCCTACTTAATTTATCTGTTTGGAACGGAAACGCATTTCGGAATTTCTGTTGGGATTTCATGCGTTAGCCAACCTACTGTAACTAACGCGGGAAGTGTACAACAGACTTAGGCAAGCAACCACACGTTAACGAAGTAATAGCCAAATAAACGTTTTGCTTCTAGTCCTGTCACTCAAGCCCAATGCATTCTAGAGTCTACCGCGCCGAAGTGAAGGGGAAGTCAGCCCTTCCAAGTATGCTGTAGACCCATATCTCATTGCCAAGCAATCCAAATATAGGCAGGACGGTGTTTCATTCACGCAAGCACTGCCTATTATTTTGTGAACGCTTGCTAGACCCGATCAAAGGTTCGCAAGCAGCCTTCTATGCCGTCAAGCCTACTGAACAATGTGGTTTTATACGTTGGTAGAATTTTGCGATAAAAAGGAGAAATTTAAACTTCCGGAAAGGTGAAAGTGTGTTTGCCGGAACTATCCGACTCATGGGACAGTTCCTTTTCGGCGAAGGAAAAAGGGTACCAAACTCGCAAATTAAATATATAGGCAGCGGTTGAGGTAACAACGGGTGACGGTGACAAGGGGTTTTCGACTGGGCGGCAAACCTGTCGAGGCATCCTGGCATTCGAGTACGCAATTCATTAACCAATTGGTTGATCTCCCAAAACTTTTAGGCGCAGTGTAACCATTTTCGAAAAAAACAAAATCATGACTGACGATTTGAATGAAAGGCAATACTCAGAAGACGATGATGATGATGGTGGTGGTGGTGGTGGTGGTGTTGGTGGTGGTGGTGGTGGTGGTGGTGTTGGTGGTGGTGGTGGTGGTGATGGTGGTGGTGGTGGTGGTGGTGGTGGTGGTGGTCGTTGTCGTCGTCGTCGTCGTTGTCGTCCGATCACAGGAACAGGAAATGTATTGGCCTGACATCTCGGATTTTCACTCGAACCAACCATCAGAGACAATCGCAGATAAGGACAATAGTGTCATGCCACTGATGAGGAGGTTCGCGCTAAATTTCAGGAGGGGCACCAAATACCGTCTCCTACCTCTAACGCCCACAATCACTAAAACTATAGTCCTAACCCTAACCCCAATCCTACTCTCTCTCTGGAGTCTAGCCTGAGGCCACCTGTAGCAAGGGAGATTCCTATTCCGTAGGTTAGATCTTCTCGGAACCGCCTCTCACGGAAATGACCTCGACTTTCACTGCGAATGAAGTGAACGTCACCGAAATCCGGAATTGCTCCGGCTTTCCAGCACCAGAGCCTTTCGCATTTGAATTAATGCCAACTTCTGTTGTCCGTACAGATTCCCCCCCCCTCCAACCCCAGAAAATGTGGGACCATTGCTAGACGTGTAGCAGGTTAGGGCGATCTGCCGTGCTGCTGCCGCCGATGCCGCCGTTTTTTCCGACCGAAGGTGCGATCACCGAGGCCCAGATAATTACCACCTCCACAGTCCACTTCTGTCAGTCACACCTTGTTGGCGCGTGCCCCTGAAAGGTCCGTTTTGCGTCAAGTACCCTTAACGGCCTACCCCGAGGGCGTGCCCCGGCGGCGTAGTTGGGAGCATGGCAACCACCCTTACGGTTACTGCCGGCCTCCGGAGAGGGGGACGCCGTGAGGAAACCAAATTATGAGACGAAGCTGATGCAATTAGGAGCGTAATTATCACAGTAAACACTGGCATGGTGACTCTGGGGTGTTAAACGTCACAGGGGACAGCAGTGATTCAGGCCTGGCAGGGGGCGAGCCTGTCACGCGGATGCCGAAAGTTTCGGATGCGGGGGGGGGGAAGATGAGTGAGAGAAAATCACTGAACCAAATCTCATTTTACCATGCCTCAGACCAGAGGCTAACCCCCCTCGGGCACCACAATACTGGTAGGGCACCAGCCAAGATGAGTGAGAGCTGGAGTTCGAGTTCCGCCAGGGAGACAGAAGTCCGCTGTCGCATTTTGCATTGTTCGCTAAGAGCGCATTGCGTGTTACTTCCCTGACTTTTTAAACAATCTTTATGCCTCCGGTGCGATACAGAGTTGTCTAGGCCACGTCACTGGGAGCCAGAACTCCCGCTACTTTCGAAACCTCAAGGGTTCTTTAGTAAGGACATTCTTGGAGGCATGGAGTTACAAATGCACCGTTTGATATGGGAAGATCATTTGTGTCGGTCTGGTTGGACACGTTTAAGCCAAGGGCTCGAGCAAATTATACAGGCTCTGAATGGCGAGAAGGTGGCCGGGCCGGTGCTTCCCAACTTTTGTTTAGATGTGGTTATGGAACCACACCTGAAATAAACAAATCCCAACCACCTGTAATACGGGATCGGTGGCAATAGGGGGTTTTCATAGGTGAGCCGGGGAACCTTCACGCGACGAGGGCAACTAGTTGTATGCAAAAGAAATGCTATTGGGAATGCGTGGTTGTACTTTAAGTGGTAGAGAAATAGTTGTTCTAATCCCTAACCCTAAGTCCCTATCCCAACCCCAGCAATATTGTGTCCATCAGGTGGGACTATACAACCACATCTTACCCAATTTTCCTGTCGTGTAGCTTGAAACCGGCTTCGGTAGGGAGAGCGGAGCTAGATCGCAGTTGGTAACCAGGCCCCGTATTACAGGTGGCTGGGGGGTTTGTTTACTGGAGCGATTTTGGGGAGTTCCATAATCACATCTGATCCTTTTGGCTTCCGTTTTACGTCTGAGGTTAGGATTAGGGTACCGGTTAATGGTTTCTGATTTTCGGGTTACGGTTATGCCTTTAGGCTTAGGTTTTCGGATTAGGGTTTGAGCGTACGATTAGATTTCAGTATTACGGTTAGGTTTTCCAGTTACGGATCTGTCTAAGGGCTACTTTTACGATTTCGATTAGGGTTAGGGTTTCCGTTAAGGATAACGATTAGATTTTAAGGTTGAGGTTAGGGTTAGGGTTACGGTTAGGATTAGGGTTAAGGTTGCTCTTCGCTTCCCCATTCCTGGCTACCAACTGCGATCTAACCGGGAGCGGAAACAACAAAATGTCACGACAAAACCAAGGAGAAGGCCGACTATGCTCTTGCCGCATCCAGACTGCTGTGAAACGTGGTGACTAGGCAATGTAAGACCACTTTTGATGGAACCAACAACCAACACCCACTGCACCCTCCCACTAGACGTAAAACACTCATTCATGCAGCTATGCCGACAGGCGAAATCAAATGTGGGTGGCCAGCGTGCTTCCTCAAAGTCTGCTTCGGTCATGAGAGGAGAACCAGGCCACGCGTGGAAGAGTGAGAGAGTCCTCCCCCCAGGTATGGCTCCTATTTCCTCTCTTACGACGGCAACACCTGCTGCCAGCTGGGTCAGCATCAAGTAGTTGACATTATAATGAGTAACATCACAAAGTAATTAACCATATTACAGTAATAACAACGCTATTACCATACTTTTGGCCTAATAAGAAAGAACTATTGGTAAGAGTCGATTACGCTGTTCTGGACCCAAGTGCAAGCGAAATGGGGGATGTTTAAATCGTTAGTGGGGAAAGTAGCCGGGACTAAAACGGAAAAGGCAACCTGATGTATGACAAATCTGCCACGAACTTGAAGGAAACCTAGAATCCCCGGAAAGGACATTGCTGACGGCACAAGCGGGACGACAGTACCCCAAACCTGACGGTAAACCTAAACGCAACCTCAAAAGTAAGCCTAATCCTTAAGGTAATTATAAGCCTAGCGCTAACCCTAAACTTAACACTGAACCTAACCCTAAACCAACCACAAACCCTAACCCTAACCCGAGTCTTAACCGTAACCCTAGCCTAGCCCTCAACCTTAAAATTAAATGCAAACCTAAACCGCAATTCAAAACCCGACTCCAACCGGAATCCTTAAACTTAACACAAGCCCTAACTCCAAACTCAATTCGCAGCTTTACACTTACCAAAACCCGAAAACTAGCCCTACGCCTAAAACGAAACATCAGGTAGCCCTTTCGAGCCTTAGCATTGACTACTTTCCCACTAACCATTTCATCATCCTCCTTCGGCTTACTATACTTGCAATGTCCACATTGCGTTTACTCTTGGGACCAGCACAGCGTAACCGACCCCTTCCGCAGAAAAATCTATTGGGCGAATTTGAGTGCATACATTTTCCTTGAACAGTGCATATGGCTCGCTTTCGGCTACGGAGTCGTCTGTGGTGCATTACAGTAATTTAGCGGGTCCTCGAAATACAGTAAGTGGGCTAACTCATGAAATGCCGACAGAAATTCCGAAATGCGTTTTCGTCTCGAAAAGATTAATTAAGTAGGGTTGTAAAACTAGCCAGCCTGCAATATAATTCTGGGAAATTTCAATTACCTCAGGATGCCGGCTTTCGAATGAACTTTTTTCCGGCTGCGTGCAAAAAGTACACTCTGTAAAAACAGACTACTTAATAGCACGCATTTTTTCATTGATTTTCGATACCCTAAAAGATTCATTATATTTCATGAAAAACACGCAAGAAAATATTCATTCTTTTGTTCATTCAGTAGAAAATTACGTCTTCTTTCAATATTACGCTTGAGGAAAGGGTACAATTTGGTTTTATAAAACTTTTCCAATTCCCGAACAATTTTGAACACGACCTGCCTTTACATCTGCATTCAAGGTTTCCAAACTACAAGCCGTATAATTCCCGCATACGGAAAACCATAGATTTCTCTACCGTATTAAGAGGAGACCATACGGAGTTCATAAAAGTAAACAGTGGATTTGGGCCACATTGTTAACTCTACAAGCCACAGTGGTAAATGTAGTGACATGACGTTTTATGAAGGAACATTTCACGGTACTAACATATCTCACAACTAGAAACTTTTTAAAAAACGGAATTATAACCTTTCTTCAAATGTAAAATTAAAGAAAGACGCAATTATCTACTGAATGAGCAAACGAATGAATATTTTTTGCATGTTTCTCATTAAATATTATCAAATCTTTTCGGGTATCGAAAATCAACGAGAAAATGCATGCTACTTATGCAGTCAGTTTTCACAGAGTATGGTTTTTGCATGCAGCCGGAAGGAAGTTCATTCGAAAGCCGGCATCCTGAAGTAGCTGAAATTTTCCAGAATTATATTGCAGGCTGGCTAGTTTTACAACCCCATTTAATTAATCTTTTCTAAACGAAAACGCATTTCGGAATTTCGGTCGACATTTCATGAGTTAGCCCACCTACCGTAGGGCTCGTTCATGCTCAGCAAAATACCATCAGTAGACTCATAAATAACTCGAATGACCCCCTTGGGTACTAGTCGCTAGGATAAACGTCCATTGGCTGATGTCCACCCTAGATGAGAAATATTTCCGAAAAAATAATGACGAGGTTTGTTCCTGCAGCCCCACGTGATTGATGCCATACGGTTAGCTTATTTAAACAGTGTGAGTTAACATAGCTAACTTGAGAGGGAGAAGGGGACTCAAGCCGAGCTCGAAGCACGCGCAGAGAAGCACGTGTGAACCGATGCCTGGTGTAACTGAAGGTGGCGTGTACACACTCGCACACAGCCAATCCCTGAATTAAGAGGATAAGGAGGGCACAATCATGACTGGAAGGCCATGGAGGGGACCGCATGTTTCTTCGCAGTGCAGTGCCCCTATAGTGGAACCGGCGGAGTTCCACACTGTCCAAACAATTGCATTATGAAGCCTATATAGCCAATCGCTGGGCGGCGACAATAAAGAGGACGCTCAGGGAAGAGCGTGCAAACTAATACCTGATGTTACCGAGGCTGGCGTATGAACGTCCCCCCCCCTAGGCATCACCCGCTGGATTAAAGTGGTAAGGAAGGCACAAACACGCGGTATATGTAAAGTCAGCGAAATCGCACCTGCTAGTATTGTTGTAGTCGACCAACCAGATGGTATCAATCAAGTGGGTCTGTAAAACCAAACCTCGCCC